ATGCCTGCACCTCCAGCTGGGTCACCGTCCCCACCTGCTCAGGTGCTGCAGCACCACAGGGACCACTGTCACCTGGGCTCACAGAAAGTGGCACCGGCCAGCACTGATGGTCAAGGGAACACCTCACCTATCCGCCCTGTGGTGGTGACAGGGCTGCCTTGGCGGCCATCCACAACAGCTGAGACACCAATGGTGTAGACAATGCTGGCGCGCAGCCCCTCGATGGTGAAGGTGGTGGAGTCGGCAGGGAGGAAGCGAGATTGCTCCACACCTAAGAGATACAGTTGAGTTGGGAAGGGCTCTGGCACCACCGCCACGGCATCCTGCGGTCCCCACACTCACCGTTGCTGCCTCGCCACGTCAGCAGGTAGCCCCCGGCACCCGACAGCCCTCGCCAAGTGACCCGCAGCTGGCTGGGACCAACCTCCATCACCCGCAGCTCTGAGATGCTGCCCACTGCTGGGTACTCTGCACCACCCCACAGCACCACAGGTGTCACCTCGGGGTGCTCAGAGGGACCCTGTGTCTGCCCCAGTGCCCTGAGGGCTTGCTGGGGCATAGAGGGCAGACACAAGCCAGAAGGGAGGAAAGCACAGTGCCAGGACTCCCGGTGCCAAACCCTGGGCATGGACTTACTGAGGCGGACGGTGACTGTCGCAGCGCTGCCCTCCCGGCCGCCTGCCATCGCCGAAACACGCACCAGGTAGGTGATGCCCTCCCGGAGGTCACCCAGCTCCAGCCCTGTCTGGCTGCCTGGGACACGCCTCGTCCTCTCTGTGCCATCTGCCAGGAGCGGGGTGGCCGTGGGCCCGGGGTCCCCCGGGTGCCGCCCGTGCCCCTGCCCGCACTCACCCTGGTTGTTGCGCACCACAACTTTGTACTCGGTGGCACCAGGGACACCGGTCCAGCCCAGCCGCACCCGCCTGCCCGCCTCCTCGACAAACCGCAGGCCTGACACGGTGCCCACGGGCACCTCAACACCTGTGAGGGGACGCAGTGAGGGGACACAGCGAGGCACGGTCAGAGCCACACAGCCTGGATGGCATGGCCCAAATCCTCACTCGGGGCTGTGACTGGAGAGCTGGGGTCCCATGGCCGAGGGAGTCCTCAGGCTGAGCAACACCACATGGGACATCTCTCCATCTCAATGGCTTGGGAGGGTGGGGGACAACCCAAGAGCCTGTGGCAGTCACTTACCTGTCTGGAAGGTGGTGACAGGGGTGGCCACCTCCCTGCCATCGTAGAGCGTGTAGAGAGTGATGCGGTACTCGGTGCCCGGCTGCAGCCCTGTCAGCTGGTAGGTGTTGGCACTGCTTGGCAGCGACACTGTTCTGGGGGACTCTGGTCCTGCAAGGAGAGGTGGGTCACCACTGGCTACCAGCATGGGGGAGTCTGTGGAGGGCACCAAGCACCCTGGCCCACCTGTGGCTCTCTTCCACTCCAGACGGTAGCCACGGGCATCGCGGGCACCGGTCCAGAGCACCTGGATGGACGTGGGGCCCAGGATGTTGGTTTGCAGCATCTGCTCCCCAACCGCCTCTGAACGCGGGCTGAGCTGCCCTGTACTGCTCTGCTGCCAGCCACCCACTCCGGTGCATCCCTGGTCCCTCACACACAGCAAGGTGGGGAGCATCACCATGGTGTGGGGACAGGAGGGCTGGTCCCCACCCCATCCCATGGCAACGGCACTTGGGGCAGAGCCAGAGGCCAGCAGTGGGGTGGCATCACCCACCCCCGCCACCTACCTGTCCTCTGCCGCACGGTGGTCGTGGGCCCCTCCAGCTGCCCAAAGAGCGGGGCCACCATCAACACATACTCGGTGTTGGGCTGCATCCCCCCCAGCACATGTGACGTCTGCCCAGCGTCCAGGTCCACCCTGTGCCTGTCCTGTCCTGCAAGAGCCAGCACACCAGTCCCTTGGGCAGCCCAGACAGTGGGTGCCATCACCCTCCTCCCATCCTTCCTCCCTGGGGCCACCAGCAGAAGGGGAGCAAGCTCTGGGATGGGCACTTACCTGCGAGGGTCGCCCAGGAGAGCCGGTAGCCGGTGGCACCGCTGACGGGCGGCCAGGCCAGCAGCATGCTCTGTGCTGAGACATTGTGGACAGCCAAGTGCTGCACGCCTGCTGGGCGCCCTGCAGGCAAGAGGTGCCCGTCACATCCCCTCCATGCACCTTTTTTGAACCTTTGCTTGCAAACTCGCTGGCTCTGGGATGAGGAGGAGCCCCCTCGCTCCCGGGCACTGCTGACGGGTGCTGAACCACACTGCAAGGTCACCAAGGGCAGCCAGCGCCAGGGCGGCTCCTTCAAAGCACCACAGCTCCAACGAACTGGAGCTCAGATGCCTTCCTCTTAATGCCTTAAATACTTTCTGCGGGTTAAGGCTGCCTGGGGCAGCTGAAGGAATTGGTTTGCCAGAATCTGAGACTTGCAAAGGTGTTGCCCCGGGGCCTCACCCCTGCTCCTGCCTAGCGATGCTTTCCACCAGCCTTTTTCCCTGGCAGAAACTGCACTTTCCTCCCAGAAAGTACGGTGCTTGACTTTATTAAAGAAAAAAAAAAACACCTCTGCATTTTTTTTTTTGAACGTTTTTATATCACGTGGGGAAAGCTTCAGCAGAAACACTCCCAGAAGGCTGTGAAGGAGCTGAGAGAGCACAGTGCCGCCTTCCCTTCAGGAGCACCTTGAGGGGCTCAGAGCATCACCTTGTGGTCATGTTCGCCTGCATCTCCACCCTGACCCCCCCCAGGCAGCCTCATCCCCATCAGGCATGGCGACTGGAGGGATATGCCTGTACTGGGAACTCATCCCTGTCCCTGGCCAAGCCCAGATGCTTACGTGTCCGGGCGGTAAGGGTGGCGGGGACAGCTGGCTGCTGCGCGTAGCGGGGCCGGAGCGTCACCACGTACTCGGTGTCGGGGTGCAGGTTGCTGAGCGTGGCCGACTGTGCGCTGGCCCCCAGGCTCTTCTCCTCCCCCTGAGTCACTCCTGTGGGAAGGCAGAGAGATAAGGGTGGGCACGGAGGCATGGAGGCACGGCACGCGCCAGGCCCGGCAGGCAAGGGGTGTCCACGTGCCGGCCTCCTGCCTTGGGGATGCCAGGCAGTGCCAGGGGTGGGGAGCACAGGGAGGAGCTGGGATGGCAGCCAGGGCAGGGGCACCCATCCGAGCGCTGCAGGGGCACCCAGCCGAGCGCTCAGGGCCAGGGAGGGGCTGCCAGGTGCACGGCTCCAGCTCAGCGTTTGGGGCAGGGGCTGCCACCTCCTCCTCACACAGAGCAACCGTGGGGGCACACGCACACCCACACCCTGGGGTGGGGGCACACACACTGGGCCCCCTGCTGTCACGCACACTCCAGCTCAAGCCCTACGCGGCAAAGCCTCGGGGTGCAGGAACACACACACGTGCCCCGCAGCCCGCGCACAAGAGCGGGCCTCTGCGGCGAAGGCGGGCGTGCACACACCCACAGTGCTCACAGCGTGCACCCCCCACGTCGACCCCCCGTGCATGCACCCACTCACTCTATGAGCCCGTGCAGACAGGGCATCCAGGCAGGACTATCCCTTTGCAGGGCCCATCCACTCACCTTGCACTGCGTAGCTGAGGCCGTAGCCCTGGGCGGGCTCAGGGCCGAGACGCCAGGCCAGCCGCAGGTAGGTTGGTCCAGTCTCCACCACACGGAAATCCAGCACGGAGCTGGCACGGCTCTCTGGGAACACAGATGGCCAGGGATGAGCTCCCAGTCTCATGCACCACAGGCACCAGCACCTGCCCATGTCCCCGTCCCTGTGGGCACGGACACTCACGGGTGCGTGCTCGGCCAGACACTGACTCGCTGATGCTGTTGGCGTACTGGGCAGTGACAGTGACCAGGTACTCCATCCCCGCACGCAGCCCCCGCAGCACAGTGCTCGTTTCCCGTGGCCCCAGGCTCACCTGGGCAGGGACAGTGTCACCCCCTTGCCATCCCCAGGCCACACATGGGGCCACAGGGGACAGCCAGGGACTTGGAGCATCAGGAGCGCTCACCTCCTGCCTCTCTGCCACGATCGGCTGGCCCAGCCCTGTCAGCGGCACGTGCTGCACCCGATAGCCCGTGACGGGGCCGCTGGCTGCCGTCCAGCGGATCCGCAGCTGATCGAGGCCCCGCTCCAGGATCTCCAGGTTGGAGGGGCCAGCATGGCTTGGCCCATCTGCAGGAGAGCACGGGGGCCGTTAGCTCCAGAGTGCATGGGGCAGTGGGGAGAGCTTGCCAGGGTGGCACAGCAATGTGTTCAGTGGGATGGGATGGCCAGGAATAAATTTTTGGGAGGATGGGTGCTAAGCATGCACCCAGGGTGAGCGCAGCCTGACACCCAGCACCGCCAGCACCCGTACCCCGCTGGGAGGAGGGTGGGAGCCCATACCCAGCAGTCGCAGGGTGCCCCCAACGCTCAAGCACACCCTGCGTGTCATCAGTGGGATCAATGTCCCCAGCAGCTTGAAGTCACCAACGTAGAAGAAGAAGGCATCAGTGGGCATCGAGGCCACGCGGATCAGCTCGTTGTGGTCAGCGTTCTTGACTCCTGGCACGGATGGAGATTATGGGTGAGGCCAGGGACCCTGAACCTGGCAGAAGCTCCCCTCACACAGTGCTGAAGCCTCACTCACCCACAGCAAAGATCTTGATGCCCTGGCTCTTCAGCTTCGCTGCTGGCCCTTCGGCATCATCCTGGGACTTGCCATCAGTGATGAGGATGCAAATCTGCAGGGCCGGGTGAGAGCCGTGAGATCCAGCCCGGGGCCCACAGACTCACCACGTTCTGTCACCAGGTGTCCCCAGGGCCACTGCCCCGCACCTACCTGGGGGACACCCGGCCGGAGCTGTGTGGGGCTGAAGAAGTTGTCAGCGATGTAGCGGAAGCCAGCGCCAGTCCGAGTGTTGCCACCCTTGTAGCTCAGCTGCTGGATGGCCTTCCGGACGTTCATGCCATCAGTGTGCTGGGAGAAGGGGAACTCCACCCTGGGGGACACAGGGGGATGCGTCACCTCCTGGCCCCATCACCTCAGCACTCCACCTGCCCCCTTCCCAGGGCTCACCGCGGCTCATCGCTGTACTGCACCACGGCGAAGCGCACCGCCTTCTCGCCCACCACCTGCACGAAGGGGCCCACCAGGTCATCCATGAAGGCACGGACGGCACGGAAGTTGTTCCTGCCGATGCTGGAGGAGCCGTCCACCAGGAAGGCGATGTCAGCCTGCAGCACGTCCTCACACACTGCTGCGGGACAGTGACAGTGCTCAGGGCACAGACTGGCACCACGGCACGGTGGCGCTGGGCCCCTTTTGGCTCCCCACCATGGGCACCTGGTGCTCAGCACTCACCTTGGCTCCTTTTCTGTGCTTCGACAGCTGTGAGGGCCAGGAGCACGGTGAGGAGCAGGAGCCAGCCACTCATCATGGGAGCCTGTGGGAGAGGACACTGCCACCATCACCCCACACCAGCCTCTGGTGGTGACAGAACTGGGGGGTCCCAGCACCATGCAGTACCAGGACACCCGGCAGCTTCAGAAGGGCAAGGTGCCGGTGCCACACTGGGCACCACTGCCGGTGCTCCATGGCACAGCAGAGAGCCCCGGCTTCGGGGCAGGGCGGATGCAGCGTGGCTGTGCCCAGCTGTGTTACCACACATC